TCCCAGCCCCTCCGAGGTGGGGCTAAACGGTGACACCCTGTCCACAAAAGCGACGAGCGTCCCGTCCCCACGCAGCACCCCGCCCGTGGGCCGTGAAATCGTGGATTAGACGTGATTAAAAGCCGAAGAATGACGCGGATCCCGCAGCCTCTGCGAGGGGAGTCGCGATGCAGGGCGAGCCCACTCTTTAACCCCCCCAGTCCCCAGAGGCTTCTTTCACACAGGTTATTGGATTTCAGGTTTGTTTTGATGCGCGCACACGAGCATATGGAAGGGGGGGGGCTGCTTAATAATGCAGCTCGTGAATTTATCTCTGCAACTTTGCCACAAGAAAAGGGGATCAAATAAGGCGAAGAATGCCCCTCGTACAACGTGCCTTTGTGTCACGTTTCCATCGCCTCTTATAGTCGTTTTCACGCCTTCAAAATAAAAATCAGGGTGAATTCATCGAAGGAGAGAGACCCCCCCCCCCCCCCCCCGTGTTGACCTCATCTTTTGCCCGTAAACGGCCCGCTAGAGCCGCTCCTTGGTCTCTAATCTCTGTCGTCCAAACCGTGTCCCCTTTCTGCAAACTGTGGCCCGAGGCTGTGTGTGGGTCCTCAGCGTAATCCCCCCCCCCCCCCCCAAAACTAAAACAGGCCTGTTATTCCGCCGGGGTTTGGCAAAAGTGCGGCACGACGCTGCTTTTTCACACCATCTTCCAGCAAAAAAGGGATTAATGTCGGCACCATTATGAATAATGAGAATGAATAACAAACAGCCGGCTGTTTATCCCGCACCATTAAATAAAGGAAAGAGTGTCCTTGTGCCTCTTTTTTATTGAACGGTCTTTAGGGCGTTGGAGGAGGGACAGAGAGGGACGACAAGTCACCATCTGATGCTTTAAGCACCGAATGCGTCTCTTCATTAACGCCAGAGAAGGAAAGCAACAGCAGATCAGATGTATATGAACTAATCATGAAGGGCTCAGTCATTAAAGTGTCTGTGAATTTGAACAATTTAGATTCTGTATGTTAAACTGTAAGTACCTTTGGAATTATGGTTTTACTGGTTTGTTTTTTTCTTTTGAAATGTTAATTTCACGAGCAATAAAAAAGGTAGATTCCAATATAAATAGGAGTAGCTTATAGGTGTTAACGTTTGCTCATTTTAGTCCGGTTATTGATTTACTGACTTTATAACTTGGCTGTTATACACAATCTATATTCAACAATTAGCTCCTTCACATTCACATTGAGGTTCAGCACACGTCGTAGTTTGTCCTCTTTGTCAATCTGCGTCAGCCTTTTACATCATAAACTTGATTATAATTTGGTACACAAACAAATATATGTAGTTTCATGACAACAGTAAAAGATAAAAGATAATTGATATTCATGTTATGTTTCTATTCTCAATTTTCACCTCAATATTTCTCTTCAGTGAAAACGCACCGAAGTATAATTAAGTTCACAAGCGATGACCATTAACAATAAATGATTTGCTCTTTACGAAACTAAATCAACATAAAAAGCTTTAACATCGTTCGTATGTTTCTCCCTTTTTATTGTGGCCTCAACATTTCTTTTCAATGCATCTTTTCGCAATTCGTTTTTTGTGTACAGTTCAACTAAGTACAGTCCTCTTTTTGCTTTTAAAGGAAACAAATAAGAAAACATGGAAAATAAGGGAGGATATATTGGATATAATTATGAGTGAATTCACCCAAATGACACAAAACGTGACCAATGAAGATTCCATTTGGTGTCTTTTGTGGCCTTCTTACTCAGTATTCTCCCACATCACTGATCCCAACAAACCACAGCTGTTGAAATGAACACAACATCATGATCCGAATGTTTCACTCTATCAAGAAAACATCAGTCTCTCTGCATCTTCTCACCTTTTTGCTCAAGAAGGGATCGAAACTCGTACGATGGAATAAACTACAGAAAAGGCTGCTGTCAATGTGACAAGTAAAACTCTCAGAAATAAAGAGTCCTCTTAGACTTAAGCGTTAACAAATGTCCCACATAGGCCTCTTTAAAGTGTCTCCTGTGTATCGTGACCTCAGCATGTCCCCCCCCCCCTCCACCCGCCCCCTCTCACTCCGCATCCCCGCCTGCCAAGTCGGACAATGCAGCTCGCGACGAGGATCTGAAAATGAAATATGAAACAGTGGTGTGATAAACTGGTAGATAATCATCTTTTCATTAAACTTTCATCCCCAGTGACTTAAATATTCAAGAGCCCAATTACAGAGCCTGTATCTCCCCCTCTCCCTCTCTCGCTGCTCTTAACAAGAGGGGAGGGGGGGGGGGGGGCGGTGAGTGGCTTAAGGGGTGAGTGAGAGCATCATTATGGAGCGGTCACACGTAGAGGGAGGGAGGGAGGAGGGGAGGAGATAGAGATGACCCGTTGTCCCGCCGTCGAGGACGAGTGGAGATGGCAGAGGGAGACGGACGTGGAGCAGCTGTGCAGGTTCTGATGGACGGAGGGACAGAAACCCGAGCGCTAGGTGTCCAAGGCAGAATGGAGAGATTTGTCCATCCCGATGAGTGCCACAAACAGGCCGCATGACTCCCTCTTGTCTGTGTGTGTGTGTGTGTGTGTGTGTGTGTGTGTGTCAGTGTATTAGCAGTCAGCGCACTGAGGCCCACGGGCGATTCCTGTGTGTGCTTGCGATAAAGGGAGAAAAAAATGGTAAAAAAAAGGAAAAGGGAGGAAGTATAACGTGGAGGGAAGCGGGGCGTGGGGAGGGGGGGGGGGTGAGAGGAGAGATGAGGAAGTTGGCTGGGGGGTGAGAGGGGTGAGGGGCGGGGGGGGGGGGGGACCATTCCGAGAGAAAGAGGGCGGGAAAAAGAGAGAGGAGCCGAGGAGGGAGCTTTCTCCTGTGCCGTCAAAACCTCCGGGTTATGTCCCCCTTGGTCTCTCTCTCACACGCACCCGCACATGGACGCGCGCCCCTTCCCTCACCCAATTGCCTCCCTTCTACCTCAACCCCCCCCCACCACCCTCACCCTCCTCCCCCCTCTCATGAAAAGAGTGTCTTGGCAGGGTAATTAAGAATGGCCTCTAAACACAGGAGAATGGCAAGAACGCTCCAGATGAAAGTAAATGATTAAAATAATTACAGGCTGAGAGCTGACGAGCCGGAGTGTGGGGTGGCCGCCGGACATTCGTCGGTAATTAGATAATTAATCTGAATGGAAATGATGAGCCCTAACAAAGCAGTCAAGCTGAACCAGCGACAACTGCCGTGAGTGAAATGTAGGGGAGGGAGAGAGAGGGGGGGGGGAGAGAGAGGGAGGAAAAAAAACACATGACTATGAGTGTAAAATATCCAACCGTCCCAAAAAAGAAAATCAGCACGAACAGACCGAAAAGCAGCAGCAGTGTTGTAAATCAATACGGGTTCCTGGCAGCAGCCAATAATCACTGCTGCTGCTTCACTCCAGTCGAAGTCACTACAGCAGACATGAATGTTAAAAATATACGAAAAGAAACGACACCGTGCTCTGCAAAAAAAGGAGAGGAGGATAAAACATGTTTTCCAAATGAACATGAGACGGCACCTGAGGAAGGAAACGGCTCCGCACGCCCCCAAACGCGTGAGCAAATTGTGGGTTTACTCGCTCGCTGCCGCACACCCGTTGTGTTTTACATTATGCATCTGCGTCTCTTTCCCTGCACGCGCACGCGCTCACAAATACTACGCGTGTGCGTGTTCTCAGCAGATGTCAACAACCGGGGAAGATACTTGTCAGCATCCTCTGCGGATCACTTCTTTAGATTCAAATACAGATCTTTGGGGTTTTATTTATTCCACCCTAATGTTTTATCACTGTGGCAGTATTTTAATTATAGGCATTATGAAAACAGCGAGGATTGTACATAATAACTTGAGTACAGAGCATCCGGGAAGCAAACTTCCAAGTGTTGCACAAACCATGCAACAAGACAGCTGGGAGTATAACATTCCTACATTTCAGATAGTAAATTGGGCTGCATAGGAGTTTTTTACCAAAACAATACTTTTCTTAATACTTTGTACTATGTTTTCTTACAAAACCTTCTTTCACGTCTGACAAGATAATGTTTTCCCGACACATTTAAGTGGCAATGGTGGCAAACTATTATTTTATAGGATGGATATAGTATGAGGACGTCGTCGGCAGAACGCTCCCAACAGTTTGAAGGCAAATATCCAGCTGCTTGTATCCCTTGTGTATGATTTTCACAGAGAAATGTAAAAAAAAAACCATTAAGATCTTTACTGGTTGGTTTATGACAGTAGAGGAATCGTGACCTTAAGCAGAAATCATATATTTTTGTTGGAAATCCCTCAGAAGAACTGTGATGACAAATCAATTAACCAGGTTGGATGTGTGAGACTCAGAAGGTTGCACAGTCAGAGGCAGGCGTGACAGTTAACACCCCCCCCCCACACTCATCTTGTTAGGACAAATTATGCAATACATCCCCACCTTGAGACTCCAGAGGAAAACGTTTTACCTGTCCACCATTCTCATTAAACACGTGGCCCACTCACTCATTCAGGCGGAGTCACCGGAGACCGACGGCGTGCATGGGAACCTTATTAGGGCCGCGTGCAGGTGGACGTTACAGTAACTGAAGGGCCGTCCTGTCCCCCAAACGCTCAGCTGTCCAAAGGTCATATTTTATACCTCAGAACATTTTCGGATGATTTTATAAGCAAATTTCCTAATGGCCATATCTCTTAACGGGTGTGATATTGTTGGGATTTGACACTAGATTTTGTTTAACATCAAAACATAAAACTGTTACTGACCCCAGAAAAACCCAACTTATTATTATTATTTTTTAAAAGACTTTTAAACACGGCTGTTTTCTTTTAGTGGTTGACTTAACATTGACGGCATGCCCATCACTGAAAACAGTGATGAAACACAGTTGTGACTGAATTAACCTCTAAACCTTAAATCAGTTCCGCTGACTTGGATTAAATGTGCATATATTTATATTTACAGGCAACCAAATGAAAAAAATGTTGTCTTTAATGATGGAAAGATGAAGCATACCAAGACGTGAGAACCACATTGATCAGCAGCATTCCTCCATTCTGAAACACAAGTGGTATCTAAACTACAGATTACGTTCTGTTGTTGTCCACTGATATAAATATTATGAAGCAATACACGTCAGAGATGATCAATCTGTCCCCCGATCCTGCAAAGGGTGTTTGAAGGTTTGCAAACTACAACTTCCACGTGCGATTACACTGTGAAACCAGGTCCATGTGTCTACAGACTGAACAATTACAATTAGTCAAAACACTCTTGAAAACTAGACTAGTGAAAAATATAAAATATTTGTTCACAGTAAACAAAATCTGTTTAATATGCCAATAATAACCCCCAATCTAAGAACATGCTTTAGGGTTTTACTTGACCACATAATGCAGATTAGGAACATTTAAATGAAAAAGGAAACATACGCCACACCAAAGCATTAAAATGTACATCAGAAGAGGGAAAATACAGAAAGGTGAGTGATTGGTGTGTGAGGCCCACAGAGAGAAGGGTGCAGTCCTTCCAGAGTCAGTGCTTGTCAGCGTGTCACAGACACAAAGAACATCCACCATTTACTCCACCAGCAACTCAAACTCCTCCGCCTCTTCAAACTCTGCGTTCATCTCCGCAGCCAGTGCGTCCAGCTCCGTGGTGCCGATCTGCTGAACCTTCTTCCTCCTACTTCTCTTCTCCTTCACCAGAAGCACCCCGGGGATGTGTGGATCGTTCTCGGCCGAAGCGGAGCCGCGGTCGTCCGCCTCAAGCAGCGACGTGAACGAGTTCAGGCCAGACAGGGACCCGCAGGAAACATCCAGACCCGTCTTGGGCCGCGGGGCTCTCGGGCCCACCTGGGGTGTTTTCAGCTTCCCGAAGCCGAACAGGTTCTCCCGGGAGTCGGGGCTGCTGACCACGGACTGGTCGCTGAGTCTGCTGTAGGAGCGCCGCACTTTCTGAGACCACACCGTGTCCTCTGGATCCGCAGCCGGCTGTTGCGCGTGAGACTGGGCCGGCGGTGAGGAGGGGAGGATGGGTGACAGGACAGCGGCCTTCTTCTTCCGCCTGGCCGAGGAGGAGCGCCCGCAGCTTGGAGCAGGAGCCGGGGTGGAGATCTGCTGTCTCTTCTTCTGGCTGCTATCCGACACTGGCCGGCTCGGCGTGTTTTCCTTGTTGTGCTCCGACGGTACGACTGTTTTCCTGGACGCTATTTTCCTCACGGTTATGGAGCGTTTGACACCAACCAGGGGCTGCGCCATTTTGTTGTCACCTTTCACGTTAGCCGGAGGAGGAGAACTCAACCGCGGCGACCGTCTTCTCTGCGAGCCGTTGAGGTTTTTAGATTCCGCCATTATGTTTCGGAGCGTCCCTTCGTTCATGCCGGCCCCTTTTGCGGTGAAATACAGTATCCTGGCGATTCCCCGAGAATAAAAGTAGTATCACAACACGGGTCACGTAAACGACAGCAGTCCGCTCAAATCTCGAATTGCCCGCCCGAGTCGCGTAATAAAGACGCGACATCGGTTTCCGGTGACGACATCAGTCTGCGCCACCAAGCTCAAACTTTTGCTGTGTAATCTGTGCAGTCGGGGTTAGGAGACGTCCGCTTTCTGTGTTTATTATAGAAATCTCTCTGCTTACATCTGTTTTACAGAATGGAATATTTAATTGGCATCCAGGGACCCGATTTTGTCCTCGTTGCCTCCGATAATGTTGCAGCCAACAGCATCATCCAGATGAAAAACGGTATGACAACGCATTAATTTAGCGTTAGCCACTCATCGGTTGCTTTAACGTTAGCTAAACGTGCTAACAAGACATGCTGTCAAAGCTCTTGTTCACGCGGAAACCAACCTGTTTTACTGATCAATTTGTTCTTGGAGTTGTTTCTTTTTATGATAAATGGATGCATAATGCCCATTTCATCATAATGTAACCACGTATCCCGTATTTGAGTTGAGCTAGCAAAGCTAACCGTAATGTTAGCTACTATAAGTTAAAGTCGCAGATTAGTCTCTCGTTGTGTTATAGCAGTTTACTTTAGTTGACTCTCCTTTCCATAACTCCAAGTCGCACAATTATGCGTTCAAGTGTTTTCACGAGCTGCCCAGAGTTTACTCCATGTTATGTTTTTGAATATGAAGCTACAGTTAGCAATGTTAGCATGACCTGCCAAGCAGACTTCTGATAGTGAAAGTGAAAGAGGCTGACTTACTGCTTTACCGTTGCTCCCTCTAGCAGTCAGTAAATCGCCACTTGAATAATTCCTTAACATAACGGTAAAAGTCAATTGTGTTCCTTGTTTTTTCAGACTATGATAAGATGTTCAAACTGAGTGAGAAGATCTTGCTGCTGTGTGTTGGAGAAGCGGGGGACACAGCCCAGTTTGCAGAGTACATCCAGAAAAATGTTCAGCTTTACAAAATGAGGAACGGTAAGGACTGTGTTGATGTTGTGTGTTATGTCATGTTAGTCATTCTATTACATGTAAGCACACACATTCAACTTTCCTTGCCTCTTTATGTTTTCACAGGTTATGAACTCAGTCCAGCAGCAGCAGCAAACTTCACACGAAAGAATCTTGCAGACTACCTTCGGAGCAGGGTAACTATCATGAAAACACAACGTCTATAAGCATTAAGGTCATACCAATCCATACGGGCCTTTTCAAGAATAATATCTTGAAGCGTCCCAATTAATTCATTCCGGCTTTGTGAGCTTCACTACACCATAACGACTAGTGATGCAGGTTAACTACAAGTTTATGTTCAGTTGTGTAAGGTTCAGACCCGACGCTGATATGATCCATTTTGACTTATCAAATAAACCGCAGCTCTAAAAACGGATTAAGCGATCAAGCTTCCGTAGCCAAAGCATTAAATGACTGGAAAGTGTAGAAAGCCATGTATTTATTTTAGCTTTCATTACTTGACACTTCCGTTAAACATTTGTCCACTCGTGTATTTGTCTTTGTTTGAAACCATTTGATCCTGTCTGCTCAGGTTTAGCTTCCACTTAGCTAGTGGATTTTCATGCATCCCAAGTGGATTGAGTCTGTTTAAGGGGACAGTTTGAGCAATGATGACTATTAGAAACAAAGTAATTGTTTGAGTTGATGGACATTTTCTTTTTTTTAAACCTTGTCTGTGCACACAATCACATAAGCGATGATGTCTCTTTGTGGAGCAACTAGATAAAGTTTATTCCACATTGGCTCATCACAGTAGATGGACCATACACTTAAAGCACTGGGTTTCTGAGCAAGGAAATAAGCCCTTTCGTGGACCGTTGGTGGATATGGGGTCGTCGTGGTGCAGGGGGTAGAGCGGGTGCGCTGGGAACTGCAAGGTTGGTGATTCGAGTCCCGGCTGGCCCATGTCTCAAGTCGAAGTGTCCCTGAGCAAGACACCTAACCCCTAATTGCTCCCCGGGCAAAAATGTAAAAGCCATGGGTTTAAAGTGTAATGTAAAGTCGTTTTGGATAAAAGCGTCAGCTAAATGACCTGTAATGTAATATGCACCTATTTATTTATTTGCACTGTTTATTTAGTTACACTTTTTAGCAGAATCTATGCATAGCCTTCCAAAGTTTGCAGTCACCTGCTCTTTTAATATCACCTTTTTTCCTTCAATAATACAAAATATGTATATATTTTAGCCTCCGAATGTATTATTTACATTTAAAATGTATTTGATCCAAAGAGAAGAAAGATTACACTTTATGATTGAAACGTACAACGTAGTAACTAATATAGCTTCTTTTCCAAAACCGACTAAAGACAGCCCACAAACCTCTGTCATCTTATATGATTTACGTTTACTGCACCGTTGGATTGTGTGAAAATGTCTGTTTAAAAAACAAAAACAACAACAACACACATGGATGTTCTCAGGGAACGAGCTAAACAGCCATGTTTTGTCAACAGGAATGTAAATTCTACTCTCACCATCTGCTGCACTTTATCATGCCTCATATTCTCTGGCCTGCTCCATCTTTTGTTGCTCTGGTGCACATGTTTCTTTCCATGTGTGCCTCAACACAACGTTTCTAAAAAACACCTGTATCAGTAAGCAGTGCTCCCTCTGAATTAAGCATATTCATCGTGGGGCAATGAGGGAACATGCCTATAAATATTGTAATTTCTATTTTAACTTAATTACCTTCCTGTGTAAGCATTTAGAATCTCATTTAGCTGTAGGGAGCAAATGATCGAATAACAAATTAATTCATTTAAAGCAATCATAACCATATTCAAAAATATGTTTCCGTACAATTCCGGCTTTAAATTATTATTAAATAAATTCATTACAAAATGTCAAACTCCATTGTCTTGTGACTCTCCTGAGATGTTCAGGTGGGAATTGAGTCTCACCTGTAATTAAATCTCTGTTTGTGCCCATATCAGCTCGAGCCATCTGTACTGAACCAGTAGATGCATTTTGACAGAGCCACGTACATTTGTCAGCTTGTTGTGAGTGGTGAGGGAGGACTCCGCCCACCGAGACTCCCTGACAACACCTGCAGCCGAGCCCCCCCCCCCCCACCTGCACGGGTCTGCTCATCCAAATACTACAGTGTTGACTTTCAATACAAAAATCTGACCGAACATACGAAGGGGTGGAATCTTTTCTTAGTCAGGCGCGCCAACCAGCTAAATTCATTAGCGTGCATGTTTGTGAGGTTGCCTATGTTATTTATGCCAAACACGTCTCAAAGTGCAGCGCCTTTTGTAATTATCATGTGTGTCCTGAAGGCTTTGCAGAGAACCAGGAGCGACGCAGAAGCCCAACGCATTTTGAAACGGTGAAAGGAGTACAGGCAAGTACGAGGTTTAAATGAACTCGTACTGTCAAACAAGCGTGGAGACCTACTCTCTGAAAGGTGTTTTATTACTACTTAATCTACATAGTTGAGTTTAACTTACAAGCCAGTATGTCGCAGCTTGGTAACTTTGTTAGACAGTTTTGTAGCCTAAAAACACCAACATTTTTGCAAGTTGAAACATTTCAACTTTGGCTAAAAACGTTCCCGAATGCCAATCAGCGTTGAGATGCTCTGTCCGTCATCACCTCCGCCCTGCTGCCCTTGTTGAATCGGAAACAATGGGATGAAGGTGATGACGCACATTAACCACAAATGGTTGGGCGAGTAAACTCACGCGGGTAAAGCGTCGTGAAAACCCGCTTCGCTTTTGGTGTGAATATACCGCAAGCCCCTCCCCCCCAAGCGGCACCCACGCCCCCCAAGAAAGTCTCAACGGTTTAATTTCCTATATAGCACCTTGTTCCTTTCTTTGGAAAATGTGTGCCCCCCCCCCCCCCCCCCCCCCCAAAAAAAACTGCAGCCCCAATGCGGCCCATCATGTCACACCCACATCAGAGCATCTGCTGAATAAGCACCTCCCACGTGGGCTTTTAAAAACATTATGAAACATAGCAGTTAGGCTGCGGCTGACTAGTACTGCCGCTATCAATCCTTCTCCTCCAGCTGTTTGATCCAGGAAATTGTGAAAAGTGTCTGTGAATTTCCGACGGTCCGTTATGACGTCCAAAGACGTTTGATTTTGATACATAGATTTGAAAAAGCAGCAAATCCTCACATTTGAAATGGTGCTTTACATCACTACTAAAAATAAAATAAAAAAAAAGACTCCATTATCAAGACCGTGGAGTGTTTCTCATGTTGATCTACTTAATTGTTTGAGCCCTGCATCCATTCTACATTTGTTTCACCTTGTAGTACACGTTAGCGCTTGTGTGGGCCGGCGCCTCGCGTGTAGGGACGCGCCGCTTCTCGTAAGCCGCCGCGCGTCGCTCGCACCTAATTTGTACAGCGCAGTGCAGCCGCGGCCCTGTCACAATAGCAGAAGGGTGAAAATAATTACAAAAAACAATTTAGTGTGACAGAGAAGGGAATGTGGGACACGTCGAACGGGGGATAGGGGGGTAGAGCGGCAGCAGGAGGAGGTGTGGGGGTCCCAGGGGGACGCGACCAGGCCCAGTAGACAACACCACGCAGACTTTTGAGTGTGAGAACGAGTAGGAGTCAACAACATAACGCGCAAACAGAATGTGCATGCGCACGGGAGGGACCTATAGGATGGGGATGTTTTTCTTCTTCTTTCTGTCAAGGTTGCACATGTTGTGGAGGATGACATTTATATTCATGTCTTGCCATGAGCGGCGAGTATATCGTTATTTATTTTTTTTCCCCTCCATGCCTCACGGTGATGAATTTGGTTTTATGAGTGCAGACTTTACTAATGCTGCGTTCTCAGGAGTGCTCCCAAACTGAAGCAGTAGCAGTTTCTCCTCTGCATCCCACACCTTCCTCCAGCTACGCTCCTCTCACATTCATCAACCTCCAGAGTGCACGGACATTTGCGAATTATGTTGTATAAACAGGGCTTTTTTTATGCCGCTTTCTCCTGCCCCAGACCATCTTGAGTATGTTGAATACGTAATCTGTATCGTCCTTTTTAAAAAAAGAGATATCAACGTGAAGTA